GTTCCAGCTACACTTCTTCCAGGACATATTTGTTAGTTCTTTTAGCAGTCTGTGGTACTTTCAGCATTCTTTGCCAGCATCACAGTTCCAAAGCAACAGCTCTTCTTCAGTCTTCCTTATTCATTCTCCAGCTCTCACATGCATATGAGGAGATTGAAAATAGCATGGCTTGGGTTAGATACATCTTAGTCTTTAAGGAAATATCTTTGCTCTTCAGCACTTGAAAGAGGTCTTTTGCAACAGATTTGCCAAATGAAATTCATCTTTTGATGTCTTGACTGCTGCTTCCATTGACATCAGTTGTAGAACCAAGAAATGTGAAGTCTTTGACAATTTCAATCTTTTCTCCATTTATCATAATGCTGCTTATAGGTCCAGTTGTGAGGATTTTTGTTTTCCTTATATGGAGATGTAATCCATACTGCAGACTGTATTCTTCAATCTTCATCAGTAAGTCCTTCAAGTCATCCTCACTTTTAACCAGCAAAGATGTCATCTGCGTATTGCACATTGTTATTGAGACTTCCTCCAATCCTGATGCCACGTTCTTCTTCATATAGTACAGCTTCTCAGATTACTTGCTCAGCATACAGATTGAATAAGTATGGTGAAAGGATACAACTGACACACTCTCTTCCTGATTTTAAACCATGCAGTATTCCCTTGTTCTGTTCAAATGACAGCCTCCTGGTCTATGTACAGGTTCCTCATGAGCATAATTAGGTGTTCTGGAATTCCCATTCTTCTCAATGTCATCCACAACTTATTATGATCCACACAATTGAATGCCTTTGCATAGTCAATAAAACATGAGTAAACATCTTTCTGGTATTCTTTGCTTTGAGCTAAGATCCATCTGACATCAGCAATGATATCCCTCACTCCACATCCCCTTCTGAATCCATCTTGCATTTCTTGAAATTCCCTGTCAATATACTGCTGCAACCATTTTCTAATTATCTTCAGTAAAATTTTACTTGTGTGCATATTAATGACCTTGTTTGATAATTTCCACCTTGTGCGGGATCACCTTTCTTCAGAATGGGTACAAATATGGATCTCTTCCAATCAGTTAGCAAGGTAGCTGTCTTCCAAATCTCTTGGGATAGGCGAGTGAATGTCTCCAGTGCAGCATCCGTTTATTGAAACATCTTGATGAGTAGTCCATCAATTCCCAGAGCCTTGTTTTTCACCAATTCCTTTAGTACAGATTTGACTTCTTCCTTTAGTACCTACCGTTGGTTCTTGATCATATGCTACCTCCTGAAATAGATGATCATCTACCAATCCTTTTTGGTACAGTGACTCTGTGTATTCTTTCCATCTTCTTTTGATGTTTCTTGCATCATTCAACTTATTACCAATGGAAACTTTCAACATTGCAATTAGAGGTTTAAATATTTTCCTCAGTTCTTTCAGCTTGAGAAATGCCAAGCATATGCTTCTCTTTTGGTTTTCTAACTCTAACTCTTTGCACATTTCATTATAATAATTGACTTTGTCTTCTCGAGCTGCTCTTTGAAGCCTTCTGTTCAGCTCTTTTATCCTGTCGATTCTGCTCTGACATCCATTTTGGTCTTTTCTTCCTTTCCTGTCTTTTTAATGACCTTTCACTTTCTTCATGGATGATGTTCTTGATGTCAGCCCACAGCTCATCTGCTCTTTGGTCATTGGTGTTTGAGACATCAAATCTATTCTTTAGATGGTCTCTAAATACAGGAGGGATATAATCAAGGTCATATTTTGGCTCTCGTGGGCTTCTTTTAATTGTCTTCAGCTTCAACTTGAACGTACATATTGAGCAGTTGATGGTTTGTTCTACAATCAGCTCCTGGCTTTATTTTGGCTGAAGATGTCAAGTATCTCCATTGCCTCTTGCCACAAATGTAGTCAATCTGATTCCTGTGTATTCTGTCTGGTGAGGTCCACATGTACAGCTGTCATTTGTGTTGTTGGAAAAATATTTGCAATGAGTAAGTCATTGGTCTTGCAAAATTCTATCATGCAATCTCCGGCATCATTTTTTTTTTTTCAATGTGTTCTATTCAAATATAATTTATGTGCAGTGAAATACACAAAACTAAAGTGACATGGGCCAATGCATTTTTTTTTTTGTTGTTTTTGCAGTGTTCCCTCCCCCCTCCCCTACCCCAGTAACCAACAAAGAAAGTTCCCTTCCATATATAAACTTTTCCTTGACTTTTTACAATAATGAACTAATACTATACTTGTCCATCTGTGATCGACTTCTTTCACTTAACATAATGTCCTCCAAGTTCAACCACATTAGGCAGTGTTTTGCAGATTCTACATTATTCTTTAGGGTTGCTTAATATTCTGTCATGTGTATGTACCATACTTTGTTTATCCATTCTTCTGTTGATGAGCACTTAGGTTGTTTCCATCTTTTTGCTATTGTAAATAGTGCTACAATGAACATGGGTGTGCATATGTCTGTTCTTGTCCTGGGTCTCACTTCTTTAGGATGTATACCTAGTAATGGGATTGCTGGGTCACATGATATTTCTAATTCCAGCTTTTTAAGGAATCATCATACTGCTTTCCACAGTGGTTGTACCATTTTACAGTCCCACCAGCAGTGTATGAGAGTCCCAATCTCTCCACATCCTTGCTAGCATTTGTTATTTTCTGTCTTATTGAACTTTGCCATTAGTGCTGGGGTGAGATGGTATCTCGTTGTTTTGATTTGCATCACTCTGACGGCTAATAATCATGAGCATTTCTTCATGTATTTGCTGGCTTCAGTGTCATTTCTATCAAAACTCAAAACCAAACTCACTGGCATGGAGTCAGATCCAACTCGTAGCAACCCCTCCTTGGGTTTCTGAGGTGGTATCACTATGGAAGTAGTGCCCCATCTTCCTTTCAAGGAGTGGCTGGTGGGTTTGAACCGCCAGCCTTCTGGTTAGCAGTCAAATGCTTTAGACTCAACACCAACAGAGCTCCTACCAAGACCATATTTTCCAACTACTGGTGATTCTTCATTGTGTCCAAAGTTTGCATTCCAATCACCAGTGATAATTAATACATCTTGAGTGTATGTTCGGTCAATTTCAGACTATGGAAGTTGGTAAAAATCTTCAATTTCCTCAACTTTGGCTTTGGTGGGGGGGTGTAAATTTGAATAATAGTAATATTACCTGGTCTTCCTCATAGACATATGGATATTATCCTGTCACTGACAGCATTGTACTTCAGGATAGATCTTGAAACATTCTTTGTGATGATGAATGCTATGTCATTCCTCTTCAATTTGTCATTCCTAGCATAGTAGATCACATGGTTGTCTGATTCAAAATGGCCAGAACCAGTCCATTTCAGCTCACTAATGCCTAGGATATCAATCTTTGTGCATTCCATTTCATTTTTGACAACTTCCAATTTTCCTAGATTCATACTTCATACATTCCATGTTTCAATTATTAATGGATGTGTGCAGAAG